AGCTTCGTTCGTGGTAAGTTTCTAGATTTCTAAATGCATCGCACGCTACGTTCGCTAAGAACGGGATCGCAGGTGGATGAGAGAACGATTTAGTTTACGATGCAGCATCTTCGGCTGAATGCCAATGGCGGCGCGGGAAGTCGCATACGCCGTGTGGCGTAGACTATCCGTACGAGGGATGCAACAGGAACGAGAACGAGCTCTGGCCTATCGAACCAAACTTGGCTCGTTGTTCTCAGCTGCCTCCGGGGCTGGGAATGTCGGCATCGTCGGAGATCTTGGCAGTGACCAAGCGAACTCGCGATGATCGACAATGTTTTGGCTCGGCACGGCTCACTCTCTCTTCGCTGGGGGCACGGCGTTCCGCTGGCCCTCGATGACGAGCCTGTCCATGAGGCCTGGGGCTAGAATGTCCTGGCGGAAGCGCTCCTGCTGCAGCAATTCCAGTGCACGCAGCGTGGGGCCGGGGTGACTGCGCCGACGGGGTCAGTAAGCAGGCGGTGTGAGGGGCGGCGAACATACTGCAAGAATCTGGTGTACTTTGGGTCTTTGAAGTACTGCAGGTAGCCGAGGTATGCGACAAACTCGGGCTTGTCGAGCGTCTTTTGCTGGGCCAGGTAGTTGAGATAGACGGGATTGGCAAGGCACTGGACAAACTAGGCGCGTGTTAATGAAGGTCAAACAGGGGCTAATGACGACGCAGTATAGGGGAATTGCGGACCTCGAGCTCGAGCTCAAAGCGCGAGTAGCCTCCCACGCCCGGGACATGTTGCGCCGTCTCGTGAGCCATGGCTGGAGTCTCGGACGTTTGACAGCTGACGGTGCAGAGTCGCGATGGGAGCGGCGCTTGCAGGTCACGCTGAGGCTGAAGAAAAGCAGTTCAGGGTCTTCCCCGCAATTGCCAGGTTGCGTCGAGTCGGCAGCTAATCCAGTTGGGTGTATGAGGCGGGCTAAGGATCACGCACTTGCACAAACAGGTGCAAGGACGGCAGGGTTGATGAGCTTGTCGTCGACGATGGCGGTGGGATGTACGCAGTGATGGAGATAGTTGTTGGCGCTGGCTGCGGAGAGGCGGTGTTTTGGGATGCGTTGAGGCGGCCTCTACCAGACGTGTATCATGCTCTGCGCGCGCACTCTGCAGGCGGCCGACACAAACAGAGGGCGTCCAGCGCAGCCAAATGCAAAAGCGATGCACATCGAGGTCCAATGCCCCTGCGCTGCCGTGCACGTGCAGCTCGGGCCTTGACCCCACAGCGTAGCGGATTGGCACCCTGAGTTGCCGTCTAGACAGTCTTTTCCGGGCCAAAGTGGCTGCCCAGGAGCGTTCTGGGAAGCTCGTGATCGGGCGCTCGAATCACAGACAGACGGCGCCACGGAACCACGCACCCACGGTTTTGCGGTTGCGGTAAACACGAGGCCCAGCCCAGCGCCCTCTAAAAGCCTAGCTAGGCCGCGCTTGCTCTCGACGGCCTACTGCTCCCTCTGCTCCCGCCTCCTGCCTCCTGTGCATTAATCACTGCCATTGCCATTGCCATTGCCATCACCTGCTTTTGCTTTCCTCCCTCACCGTCACCACTCCACCCACGCCCAGCCCCCGCGCATTGCTGTCCTGTATTCCATAGGCGTTGCATAGACTACTAACGGGCCTCAAACACCAGCCCATCAAACACGCGCCCCGCCCGCCTGTCGCCTGCCCGCCAACGGGGCCCGTCTATCCTCAGCGCGAAACACAGCAGCATCGGTACCGCCAGTCTTAGCAAAAACCGCGCCCCTATTGCTGCTTCTGCCGTAGGCGAGGCGCGCAGGAACAGGATTGCCCGCCGTGCGTCACCAGCCAGCAGTTGCACAAAGCACGCCTGTCGTCTCCCGCGGCGCCAGTGTTTGATTGGGCCGCCCAGCAGGGTTGTGAGCAGCAGACGGCATCATGTTTGCAGAGCCGTCAATGCCAGGTAAGGCTGCTCCTGAATTTGCCTGTTTCACCGAGACTTGGGCTGTGACGAAATAGGACGCGCCGCTGATCATATTGCTTATCTACAGAAAGGCGACCCTCGCCAGGCCTGCAGCTCAACCTCTCCTCCAACAACCCCTTCCGCCGCGCTGCCTCTCCCGGTTTCCCCTCGCCCGCCAGTGCCAACCGCTCGAGCTCGGGCAGCAGACCAATGTCGCGCAATCCCTTTATATCTACCTTCGAGGCCGAGTTTAACAAGGAGGCATCCAGAGACCTCGTTGACATGTCGGCCACCATGAAGGACTCTCCCAAGAAATCAAACTTTGGCTTTGCCGCCGAAGAGCTCTTTGTACGTTCCTCCCCCTTGCAGGCCAATCGCCCGTGCCGTGACGGCTGCCAGCGCCGTCACGTCGTGCAAGCCGCGCACGCTGCACGCTGTAGCAAAATGCGGTGCAGTCTCTAGCTACACCACCGCCATTGAGCCATCAACATGGACCGCTTCAGGCGCTTTGTGATGCAGTTTGCTGACTATCCTGCCCTTGCCCAGGCCAACCTCACGATCGACGACACCGATAAGAAGCGAGCTCCCCCGCCACGACCTGCCCCTGCTCGCAGCGGCACCGATCCCCGTGCAGGCCACCGTCCCTCGCGCTCCGAAGAGGAGAGACAGCGCATGCGGGAAGCTTCTCGCGGAGGCTCTCGACCACGTGGACCTCCCAGCTCGTCGCGCCCTCCCCAGCTCAACAGCCCTGAACGCCGCGAGAACCGCCGTCCCCGACGCAACTCCGAATCCTCCATCATCGACCGAGGCTCGCTCGACCCGCGTGAAGAGCGCAGGCGCAGGGAGCGCCGCAAGGAACGCGAAGAGCGTGCTAGAGACGGCAAGGACAGCAAATCTGGCGGCAAGAAGGTCCGCAGGCCGCAGGGTCTTGATCTCATTGACAAACTCGATGTGACTGGCATCTACGGACCTAGCATGATCCACCACGATGGACCGTACGACGCTGTGCAACCCCACCGCAACCGTAAGAAGGACCAGCGCGCACCCATGCATGCTTTCCCCGTCGGTTCAGCCAACAACACTCTGGGTGGTTCTGGACCTCTGAACACAAAGATCGATCTGGACAGGATCCATGGCAGGGGTGCCGAGGGCTTCACCGACTTTGCCGGTGCCGAGACCGAGTGGAAGAAGCCAGCCCCAGTGGCCGCAGAGTTCAGCGCAAAAGGCCGAGAAGACATTGTACACGGCGAGCAGACCCATGGCCTTGGAACATCCACCTTCCTCGAGGGTGCCCCGGCTTCCCGCAAAGCGATCCAAGAGGAGTCCGATGCTCAGAGGCAGAAGCAACTAGCGGATAACGGTCTCGGTCGCAAGAAGTCCATCGCCCAGCGATTCCGCGGTATCTCTCAGCCCCGTCGTTACGGTGACGGCCCACGCATTACTTCGCCCGAGGCACGTTACGGAGCTGCCACCAGCCCAAGCGGCCCTTACAGCGCCGGAGCCATCTCGCAGACCAAGGCCGCAGAGCAGAACCCATTTTTCAGCGACGACTACGACAAGGCCTACGACGCCAAGGGCGCAGCCATCAAGACCAACGAGGGCGGAGCTTCACCACCTCGGGGCGCTGCGCTGCAACGATCCATCACCACCGACAGCGTAGGATCTCCCACAGGCGAGGCCAAGCCCAGCGGCGGGTTCCTCAACCGCGTCAAGTCTCTCAAGGGCGGACGTCGACGTCCCGCTTGAGTATTCCCAGGCATGGTTGAAACGATTCGACCACTTCACTCATCTTCCCTCTGAGCGGCTCAAGTCCATCTCGAAGGACACCAAAGACACGATGTATATCGCCCACGGCGACGACTGCAGCCAGCTTATTTCTCCTATCGTCACACACCTCCCTTCGGGTCATACACTTTCCTTCCGTCTGGCGCTGGAGTCGTTGGGGCTTGAAAGCACGAGGTCTGGATACCACTCATGTGTAACAGAACTCAGGCACGCTTCAACAAGATAAAGAAGGCTCTCCCTTCTTCAAACCACCAGCTTCAATTTTTTCAATCGAGTCACTTTTTCCTTTCAATGCGCAGAAATTGGGCTACTTGCATAGCTCTTATAACACATCAAGTTTGCGATAGTTTGGGGATGCGAGGCGTAGAATCTGTAGCTAGGAATCAAAATTTGCAAACATCAAGATACCATACCGTTGGAACTCTACACATGTGATGCCGTTTATTTGCCTCCGTTGATCGCCATCTAGACCCGCTCGATGTTCAGGGGCATCCGATTGTTCCTGGCACCCGCTAGGATCGTCCTTGACGCGTTCCTGTCGCCCAAGAAACCCCACTCGAGCTTACTGCCCAATCCTTGAGGGGCGGACCATGACGCCGCAGCTGCGTTGCCCCTGGCACATGACCTGAGAATCTATCGCCGACATCAATGCTCTCAGCCGCACGCCACGACGCCAGCACTAAGATCGGCGGCGCGGAAGTTTGGATCGCAAGCCACCACCGTATTTCTCCAGTAAGATCTTCGATGCCACGTTTCGGCGAGATATTTGCCTAGTGTCGGCTAGGCGATTGGGTGGTGCGTTGCTGTGGAAGAGGTTAGCTGCGATACGTACCTGCGGGCTGATAGGCGTTGATTGATGCCTCAGGATTGGGTTGAGCATGCAGTGCATACATAGGCTCAGGATTTTGTAGAGCTAGTACATGACGTGAATGCATCACTTGGTTATTTGGTACGTGAAGAAGGATGGAAGTGCAGGCGCTGCTCTTCTTTGATCAAGGCCTGGCGCGCCGAGACAGCGATGGGTTTAGTATCAGGCAATGTCGAAGAGATTCCTACATGCGCGTGGTTCTGGTAGCCACATCGTTATTGTTGTGTGTCCATTTCTGTCCGAGTTGAATGAACAGTATAATTGTACGTTTTCAACAAAGGTTGCACCTTCCTCCATTCCATCTCGCGCTAGCGCTTCTCTTTCCGGATGCGGTTCCGACAAGCCTGTACCATTACACTCACAGTACCGTGCCTCACCATCGTACACCAGATAGCGATATGGCTGCCGCTCAACTAGCTCTTGATAGGTTGAGTATATCAGCAAGACCCGCAGAGCCGTTGCTCGCATCCCAGTTGATTGGCGACCAAGACCTTGATGAGCTGCTCGAGAGCGTGTGCAATGTTAATCTTCAGCACCAAAATGGCGTTGGAGCGAACGTACTACAAACTGGAGTCAAAAGCTTGGACGATGCTTTCGGTGGTGGCATACAGAGCGGAAGAGTTGTTGGAGTCAGTGGAGAAGCTGGGGCGGGTGGGAGTGAGGTGAGTATCCTAACTGTGGATGTCAAGCGACAACATATTGCCAAGAAGTCCGAAGAAGAACGGGCTATAGTTTAACACTTTTAGATCTGCTGTACTCTACTTGCGAGCTCTCTCCTTCAATACGAAAACTCGACGGCTGCTGTAGTTGACACCACTGGCAACTTCGATGTACTACGACTTTACACCATGATCGTCGCTCAATTGTCACGACGACCAGATATCCTTACGTCACTACGTTCTTCACTAAACCAGGGGCCTGAAACCGCGACTGAGGATCTAGCAGCAAAGATACTTGACCGTGTCAAGATTATGCGTGTTTTCGATTTCGTGGGTGTGAGAGAAGCCATTGGTGAGATCCGGGATGGGATCGAAAAGAAGAAGGATGTTGAACGAGCTTCAAGTACTGAAGAGAAGAAAGCGACTTTAGCCATTGAGGAGACTGCGCAGGAGGAGCCGTCCGTCGAAAAGGTGCGAGTGAAGCGGACTTATGTTGCAGACAGCGAAGACGAAGAAGACGACGAAGAGATGTTATTCGATTCAGATGTTCCCGATACAGTAGCGCAGCCTGTACAGAACCCAGAGCCAATCCAGATTGAGTCTCCAGAAGACACAAATGCAGAGATTGTACCGGGACCCACCAAGACCGTGGTGATCGACAACCTTGCTCAAGTCCTCAACCCTTTGTTGAAGAAAGACTATATACAAGGTATCTACCATCAAACCCCAGATCCAGCATTGACTGACCACTCCCAGCAAACGCAGTAGCATCCACCTTCCTCACAACGCTCTCAAACCTCACACAAGCCTACGCACTCCACACTTTTCTCGTAAACCCAGCTCTTCCTCCACGCGCTTCTTCACCTAAACGCCCTGTACTACAAAATCAGTTAGGCCTTCTACCTCCACAACAGCGGCGAGAGCTCCCACTTCCACCTTCCATCTTTGCGAGTAACGATGTTGTACCGAATTTGGTGCATTTACTAGGACGGTACATGGATATGGAGGTGTTGGTGAGTCGGCTACCAAAACGGAAGATGGACGCGAAAGTGTACTACAGTGATCCTGGCGGGAAAGGGACAAAGCGAGGTGTCGAGATGGTGAGCGTGCTGGAGGTAGTGAGTGATCGGTGGGGAGGTAGGAGTGGTGCATGGGGTACGTTTCGTGAGAGCAAAGATGGTATCAAAGATATTTGAAGTGTGTTCAATATCAAAATCTGAATCTAGGATGCTAATGCAGAGGCTTCTAGGGAGAAGTGGTCGTCGCCAGTATTTCTTACCCATCCCTTCAGTGCTTTGCGTATGTCATCTTTGACTTTGATTCTCTCTTCCAGCCCTTCAGACTTTTTCAGGTCCGCATACGTCTTCATGCGAAGCGCATCACTAGCCGCCACCGCTCCACCCAATAATCCTGCTAAACGAAGAGCTTCCATCCATAATCCTTTCCGACATATCCTACTTGCTCCCCGGGGGTCTAGTTGCTTCCGACCCTGCAGCACACCGCCGATCAAAGTCTCCTGCCAGCCTGGCGTCCACACAGCGGAGAGATTACTCGGCACGGCTTTCTCGGCAGTAGACGGTGCGCGGCGCGACCACGTGAACTCGCGGGTTGTTGGAAGGATATTGAACGTTTGGAAACGATAGCCGCCCTTCCACTCCGTGGAATGCTTTGGGTCGAGACTCTTGAGACGACCTGAGGAGGAGAAGGCCCGCTCGCATGCTTGTGGTACATATTGGGAGTCTGGTAGAACCAGAGTCTCCAAGTAAGCATTCCGAGGACTGATTAGTAGAGATGATGTAGATGACAGCAAGGAGGTAGCTTGTTTGACTGCCAGTTTGTCGGTGCAAGATTTGCTCAGCGTAGGCGGGGCATCAGGTCGCGAAGGCTTTGCGCGGACAATGCCTAGAAGAGAGAAGTTCGACCGACCTCGAAGAGCCAGAGTGTCTACTTGGTCAACTGCATCAGATGCGGTAGATAGAGTTGGTGGTGCACTAGTCCACGGCGTTGCATCTTCCTGCGCAGCCATGGTGAGCTCCATACTGGCATCTCCACAGGGAGCTTCAGAGCAATACATGTGAATGGACACATCTTCTCGGATAGTGAATGGCTGGCCTAGGCTTTCGGAATGTTCATCAGGCGACAGCCGTCGAAGGAAGTCGGATGTTGGATAAGGCGGCGTCGAGATGAGAATGCATTCATCTAGAAGGTAGCGGTTGAAGGCTCGGAGCGCTATGACTTCGGCGTGCCAGTCGTGGAGGATGTTGCCGTGCGCGAGGGGTAATTTGTTGGAGGGGAGACATTTCATGCCAGTTCTAAGAGAGGTTCAGCTGGTGTCATGCCTTATTCACAGGTCGTATCGTAGTATGTTCGAGCATGCTAAGTTCAGAGCAATCCAGAAGCCTCGCTTCCTCAGTGGGGCGTTTTGCTCCTGCTGTCTGAAGTGTATGCGTGGTGTCACACCCGGTAAATCACTGGACTACACGATACCCGTTGAAGAGACAGTCTTCGGAGGTCGGCTGATGGAAATGGCTCACCCTAACGATACGCATGATAGAGCGCCACCTTGACTAGGTCATGAGCATAAGCAAGCATAGCTCCTTCCGGAAGCAAGTGAGCGATTACCTTTAGATAAGACGATTCCGGCGAGGGGTACCCATTCCCTTGCGCCATCGTGGCGGGGTCTCGGCTTCCGCTTTTCAGGTAGCTGAGCAAAGGCCCGGAGCACGCAGTCTGCGATGGCATCTGCGTCGGCGTCTGCAGCCATGGCAGCGAAGCGAGGTGGTGGGTGAAGGAGCGAGGGCGCAGCTGGGGCTCGGAGCATCCGGGGAGCCAGGCACGTCAGGGTCCATTGTTACCTTCGCAGTCGCAGAGCATCGCTCCTGCTACTCAGTCACAAAGAACCCTGTCACACGCTCAGCGCGAGTGAGACCCAGACTCCTTCACCTCCCCGTATCGCCTTGTTCCTCCTCTTCTCTTCTCAACATGCAAGCGTTTGGTGAGCAATGGCCGTGCGCCGCACCGTCGCATTCGCGACTCAGACACTCACAATCACAGTACCCAAGAACCGACGAGTAAGACTGAGCCAGCACCTCAAAGTTACACGGGCTGACATTTGCGCAGCCAAAATTTGATCTACACCTACGAGTGAGCTATCCATACACAGGCATACGATCACATTCTGACGACAGTAGATAATCGACCTCAACAACGTACCACTCGTTTCTGGCACCTCATTCATAAAATGGCACCTCTCCCACTCGACGGCCGCCGAGCACCGCGGTCGCACAGACAGCTGCCAAGTCAAAGACCATAAAGTCGCCTACAACTACGACATCACCCTCCCCGTCCGCCTCACCGTCGACAAGAATGGCATGCTGCAGGAGTGTTATGTGGAGTTGGAGGTCGTGCAAGAATACGGCCGAGGCTCAGGACGAGGCGAGCGCATCACGTTAGGAACTGTCAAGCTCAACCTGGCCGAGTACGTGGAGCAGAGCGAGATGGCGACCATCGCGGGCGAGGAACCAGGCGTCACGAGGAGGTACCTCATGCAAGACAGCAAGATCAACAGCACGCTCAAGGTCGGAATTTATATGAAGCAGACGGAGGGCGACAAGAACTTTGTCGCGCCGGCCTTGAAGACTGCGCAGGTCTTCAGTGGCATCGCTGGTATCATGGCGGGAGAGCAGGCCGAACTTGAGGATCATGGAGGTGGGAAACTCTGAACTATACACGGAGCTCGTGCTAACGCCCACAGCTGCGCCCTCCCTGACGAGCAAATCCCGCGAAGCCGGCGAGCTCCAAGACATGTACAGACGCACCCTCGCCGCATACTGGTCCGCACAACCCGGCGAGCTCAAGGCAGACGAATGCATCGAAGACATATTCGCTGGCGGAGACGGATGGGGCGACCGCGAGAAACCATACTCCCAGCAGCCACGAGCTCAGCCCTTGCGATTCGCAGCAGGCGATAGCAGCAGCTCTGTGAGTGAGAGCGAACACGGTCACATGCGCGGCGGCAGCAGCGCTCATCGCAAGTCGCATGAGACGCTGCGCCCTGGAGATATGAAATCGAATCACTCGCCTAACGTGCGGGGCCGGGGAAGTTTGGAGCAGCAGGCATCGCAGATGAAGGCAGAGGCGGCTCGCAAGCGACATCGTCCACACCATGAGGTAGATGAGTTTGACCTGCGCGAAGATCTTTGCAGCTGGCGTCGTCCAACTTGAAGTTCAAAAGGTGCCACTGAATGCAAATTCCTACATTTAATATTGAACTCTGAAGTATTGCTCGCGGGCGTCGCACTATGACGCGCCTCACACGTGAAAGCGCGATGGCAGAATTAGGGCGGTCACGAAAGTTGGAGCACGCATCGCACTTTCCGAGCCCGTCGCTGCCATCCTCATTGCACTTTTTCCCCGCTTCGTCCTCCTTCATGCTTGCGCCCCGGACCTCGAGTGCATTTGTATGCCTCCGATGTGAAGCGCAAATTGCCCGACGGCGACTGCCCGCTTTTCCTCGCCCACCATCCCGAGCCAGGTTTTCTGCGTCTGCACGCCGCCGCGGTGATGCTGAAGACGAGCAACCACCGCCTCTGAAGATCACAAAACAAGTGACGCCGATCAATCGCTTGAGGAAGAGGAAGGGAGAAAAGATCCTACGAGAAACTTCGCAAGATCTGGGCGTCAAGCGATTGGGCGACGATGCCGATATCTTGGTCCTGAGGGAAGTCGGGGAACCAGCACAAAGAGAAGCCACCACAACCACCGAAGCCTCCGAAGATGCCGAAGTAATCGAAATCTCCGAACCTCTCGAGGTCCCAGACATTCTTGCCTCAATCGAAGAAGAAGGGAAAGCGCTCGCGCCCGAAGAAATATACAAGCAGATCGAGACCTTGCGACCGAACAACGATGGCGACCCCAATGAGCCGAATCACGTCAAGCAGACTACGTTTGTCAAGCTGAGAAAGAAGCTCATGAAAGGCTTCACGCAACAGCAATTGATAATCTTCTACTCGGTCGCAAAGAATATACGGCAAGAGAAGGTCAATCAGGGAGTGATCGACAGCATCAAACGGAAGGACCAACTAGGAAACGAGAAGCAACCTGTGGAGCGATCAGAATGGCAGCCAGGTACTACGCCGATAACTCAACGCCTGCCTGGCGTTGATCGTATTGTCAAGATCATGGGCTACCGCAAGAACGTCAGCAAGCAACTGCTTGTTGATCGCATAATGAGGGATGTTTGGAATCTCGTACTCTTGGAAGAAATCGAATCCCCCGGAGAGCTAGAGCTTTCTCTGCAACCGTGGCAGGTGATGCTGCTTAAGGCTGGTGGTACGTACTATAGCATCCTTAATCGTGGATCTCGCTAACATGCCTGCAGACAAAGACACCCTTTTTGACAAGATTCGACGGACCCGACGAGTGAGGCTCGACATGTACAAACCGGATAACGCCCTCCGCATCACATCCGATAAGACGACAGCAGAGTACGCTGCCAATGATATCGAGGAAGCCTTCCAACACACTGAATTGAAGCGGATGAACCTGAACAACTATTTACGCCAGCTAGCAAATGGTCCTGTTGCGTTGGATTCAAAGTCCAATCTGGTAACTTTGTTTTATACACAGAAAGACTTTGATGTCGTCTCGGCTCTGACTCGCACGAGTATTGAGGCAGTCGGCAAGTCTATGGTATGCACGATCTCTGTAAATCGTTCAAAACCGAGCTAATTCTTTTAGTTGGTAATCAGAGGCTTCGACGTGAGCTC